GAGGCGCCCACCCCCAGCACCCAGAACACCCAGACACTCTCCAAAGGACGTGAGCGTGCCGGAGGGACGTGCGCACATCCTGTGGGGGAGGTAGACATGCTGGGGTTGATGGGAGTGCGGCAGAGGGGTGGGGGTGGGGGGGGACTTGTGCACACCATGGTCCGGGACTGTTGCAGGTGCACGTGGGTGACAGCACGCTGGGGGACATTCACACTCCAGGGGGGGAGGAGAGGATGCGTGCACCGTAGCCCTGCAGCTTCGCAGATCCGCAAACCCCCGTGGTGCGGCCAGGCGGATGTCAATCTGGCCCACCATGGTGGCTGTCCCTGCGATCATGCACTTCCTGGGCCAGGAGGCGGGACTTGCGCAGACACTCCTGGGTGCTGATGGCTTGCAGGCGCTACTTCAGCTCAGCCTGCAGGCGTTACTTCAGCTCAGCCTGCAGGCTCCAGAGGCTCTCCGCGCGTGCTGCCCACCGGCCCGGAGTGGCCTGGGCAGGGCGGGACGCCTGCCTTCATTGCCTTGGTGACAAAGCCAGGCGTCCCACTCCACCCCTGGCCACTGGGCACCTGCGTGCGTGCGCACTGCCCACAGATCTTTGGTGGGTTAATTTGCATCTCACTCCTGATGGGCTGTGGGTGTTGCGGAGGGATGGTCAATTTACATATTTGTCTATTATTAGTATAGATTCTTCTTAGATTTGAGTCAAAATGCCACTATCTGGGGTTTCTATTATAGATACCAGTTTTATCCTTTGGCACCACAAATTAAATCTCACTCCTCTTTCTTGTGATGGCCTTTTCTATGTAACAACAAAAGAGTAACTGCCTTCCAGGGGCACGACCTGCCGCCAGGTGCTTCACACACGTAGCTCTAACCCCCATGGTGACCAGCCCGATGGGCCAGTGACCGTGGTGGCCACGTGTGGGTGCCTCCCTGCATCCCTTCCCTCCTCCCTACCCTCAGCCCTGTCCTCCCAAGAGGTGCTGCTGGTGGTGATATGTGGTTCTAGGGGAGCTGACTATGTCCTGGCTCATAGGCCAAGCTAATCTGCATATTCCCTGCCCCTGGATGCTGTGATTGGCTCAGGGGTGGGCACATGACCTGGGTTGGTCCAATCAGAGGGACTAGCAGGATTTTGCTGGGACAAAGATTCTTGCAAGGTTGTAGACCCAGGAGCTGCGGCAGCCCTTGTGGGGCCGTGAGGCAAGTCAGCGTGGAGGAAGGCTGGACCTTGCAGAAGGCAACGTGGGAGGAAGGAAAAAATGGGGTCCATGGAAGCTTTTGAGGTGATGGATCCTGCCTGGAGGCAGCCCTGCCCCTGAAGCCTTGTGGGTTAAGGTAGCTGGGGCTGGGGTTTCTGCCACTATATGAGGTTATCCTGCTGATGAGGAAACTGAAGCCCAGAGATGCTGATTAACTTGCCCAGGGTCACCCAGCTGAGTGGGGGGGGGGGGGGGCAGGGTCACCCAGCTGAGTGGGGGAGGGGGGGGGCTGGGGGGCTGGGATTTGGGCTCAATGAGGAATTGGGGAGGGGTGAAAAGCAAGTGTCTTCTCCTCGGTTATCTCTGTTTTTGGTCTAAAGGCCCTCCGCTGCCCCTAGGACCTGACTTTGCCGCCGCCCCGGTCCTCTCCGTAGCGCCGCATGGAGGGAGCTGCCGGGAGCTTGTACGCATGCCAGGAACTGGGGGCACTGGGTGGAGTCCCGTCTGGGCTCACTCCACCACAAGGCCCATTCTCCCTGGGCCGGGCATCTCCCCTGGGCCTCGCATCTCTGGACCTGCTGCTGTGGGGTGGGGCGTGTCCAGGGTGGTCCAGGGGAGACGGGTGGGCACTGCCTCCCCTCCTGCCGGGCGGGGGGACGTGCAGGGTGTTCCATACAGTAATAGAGGCCCATCTGCTTCCAGTTAGCAGCTCCGGGAGCCTAATTGGCAGATCAAACCCCTCGATGTTGCCCGTTAGATAAGTCGTGAGAAGAGCCCCAGTGGCGTCTGACACGTTGGACGGAGCCCAAGCCCGGCGTCCGACCACCGCGGGGCCCGGGGTGCTAATGTGAACCAGACGCTGACGCACGGAAGCGGGAGGATATTAACAAGTGTCCAAATCTGAAGCGCCTGGGCAGATGCAGCCCCGCCTCTGGCCCCTGCGACGGGGAGGGCACAGCAGCTCCTGAAGCGTAGCCTTGAACCTTAAGGCGGAGGGAAGAGCTCTCAGGGTGGTTTCCTGACGCTGGCTGTGGCTGGGGACATCCACGGGCCAAGGGTCCTGCCCCGGCAAAGAGATGGACACAGTGGAAAGCTGTTGGGCTCAAAACGGGGAGACCTCGTGTCTTACTTCCCATGTGACTTGCTGTGGATCACATGACATGGAGGGGCTGGCTCTAGTTGTGTGACTTTGGGCAAGTGGCTTTACCTCTCAGGGCCTCAGCTTCCCCATCTGTAAAATGGGGAGAAACAGTCCTGCCTCACTCAAGGCAGAAGGATTTGGTTCCGACCCCAGCACTCTGGTTACTGCCTTGGACATGACA